ATTCTTCTTTGAATTGTTTGACTCTATTGTCTTCCTTGTTTCCCATATTGATTCTTCTTTGAATTGTTTGACTCTATTGTCTTCTTTGTTCCCATATTGGTTCTTCTTTGAATTGTTTGCCTCTATTGTCTTCCTTGTTTTCCATATTGATTCTTCTTTGAATTGTTTGCCTCTATTGTCTTCCTTGTTTTCCATATTGATTCTTCTTTGAATTGTTTGACTCTATTGTCTTCCTTGTTTCTCATATTGGTTCTTCTTTGAATTGTTTCCTCTTTTGTCTTTCTTGTTTTCCATATTGATTCTTCTTTGAATTGTTTGCCTCTTTTGTCTTCCTTGTTTTCCATATTGATTCTTCTTTGAATTGTTTGCCTCTATTGTCTTCCTTTTTTTCCCTGTTAATTTTTTACAATTATTTCTACCATCTTCTTTCTTCGCCTTGTTTTGTTTTTAATTGTTTCTACTGTCGTTCTTGTTTTCATTGTTGGTTTTTAATGTTTCTACTATCGTTCTTGTTTTCATTGTTGGTTTTTAATGTTTCTACTATCGTTCTTCTTTTCATTGTTTGTTTTTAACTGTTTTTACTATCGTTCTTGTTTTCATTGTTGGTTTTTTATTGTTTCTACTGTCGTTCTTGTTTTCATTGTTGGTTTTTAACTGTTTCTACTATCGTTCTTGTTTTCATTGTTGGTTTTTAACTGTTTCTACTATCGTTCTTGTTTTCATTGTTGGCTTTTAACTGTTTCTACTATCGTTCTTGTTTTCATTGTTGGCTTTTAACTGTTTCTACTATCGTTCTTGTTTTCATTGTTGGTTTTTATTGTTTCTACTGTCGTTCTTGTTTTCATTGCTGGTCTGTTAAATTGTTTATATTATCTTCCTTATTTTCAATGTTTTTTATTGTTTCTACTATCGTTCTTGTTTTCATTGTTGGTTTTTTATTGTTTCTACCATCTCCATTGTTTTGTTATTGTTTTTTATTGTTTCTACTATCTTCATTGTTTTCATTGTTGGTTTTTTATTGTTTCTACTATCTTCATTGTTTTCATTGTTGGT